GGCCACCTTCAGGTGTTTAACTGAATTGTCCTGGAGATGTAATTTGGCTTTCGACTTAAGTAATGTGACGTTTTTGTTGTTGTTTTGGGTTTTTAAAGTTTAAGTTTATCGTGCCTACGGTAAGATGTCGTTCTGGATACGTGCACCAGCTCTCGCAGTCACTGACTGTGGTCACCATCCTCCTTAGGGTAGCGCCCCGGGCCACTTGGATCCCAGCCTCACTTTACTATGCGAACCCGGGGGATGCCCCGAGTCCTGGACCGCAGAGCCGCTCGCGAGAGGCCCGGAGGCTGTAACCGCGCAGCCTCGCGCCGCCGGCGAGGGCCAGGGTGGCTTCCCCGGGAGGTGCCCGCCCCTGGGCCAAAGTGCGGCGTGGGCGGGGCTGGTCACACGCCTGGATTCCTTTAGTGCGCATCCGCGAAATCCTGGCGCCATCACAGTTGCCAAAGGGATCAGAAGAAGTGGGATGTGCAGAAGCGCCAGCTAGAAATTCCGGCCACTCTTTGCTCAACAGAGGGCTCCCTCTGCTCTTGGCTTCTTCCGGGCCGCCTGCTCCCACTCGGTGAAAAAAATTCCAGAGCGGCTACCTAGGCGATGGTGGGGATTGCGGCAGCCTCCGCGTGCTGCTGCGCAGCGCTCCTGTTTCTGGGGCGCGCGCTGACTACCGCAGGTAGGGGCGCGTGTAGGGGGCGGCCGGGGTGAGGCGGGGGCACCTGGCGCCAGAGGGTCCTCGCTGGTCAGTTCCCTAGCGCCCCGCCAGAGGTCCGCGACTTCCTGGGGCTGGGGGCTCCATTTTCGAGTGCCGCTCCTTTGTGAGATGGGGAGGTTTACACTGAAGGCCTACCCTGTGCAGGGGCGGCACCAGCGCGAGCGGAGACTGTGCCTCCTAGGATGAGGTGAGCTTGACGTTTCGGTGCTCAGCGCCTCTCTTGCATCATCCGAGGGACCGGAGCAGAGAAGATAATCAGGGAACGGGAAAAATAGGAAAACCACTCACTCGCGTATCAGTGGGTCCTCCTGGCTTTGCTAAGGTCTTTACTGAGAGAGGGAGGGGGGTGTGGTGACCTGCAAACGTTCTCTTACTTTTTGGAGAACTCGTATGGACATTCTCTACGTTAACTTAAACAGGAGACTAAAAGGCTGAAATGCGTATGTAGAGATGTTTAAACTCATTTCTAACTATAATAATGGCAATTAAACGACAAAATGCGACTTGACCCTTACTAGACTGGCCAAAATAGGCTCCTGGATGCCGGATGGTGGAGGGGGAAATGTGGGAATCCCGGAAGCGCTCTGAGCGCCTTTCGTCACTGCAGGTGGAGGCGAGCCACGCGTGGACCTCACCTTGGAGAGCACTTCACGTGGCAGCAGCTTCAGAGCACGCCCTTGCTGCTTGCAGAGCAGGTGGACGGTTGTTGAAGGCATAGAGCCAAGAAAACAGTGGACAGACAATTCAATATCATTCCTACGATTTGAGAAACAAAAGATGCAACCTTAAATATAAAAACGTATACGTTAAACACCTCAGAACGAACGGCTGCCTGATGGGAGAGGGAAATGGAAATCAAACAGTGTGAATAGTATTTCTATACAAAAGAGCAATGTGAAAATAAGAGTTCCGAGTTAAGTGTGGGCTGAGACGAAAGCCAAAGTTGCCATCCGCTAGGTGCCGGGGACTGGAAGCGCCTGCGCGCTCGGCGGGTCCCGGCTTTCCCCACCTGGAAGTCGCGGCCGGGTGTTCCCGCCGTGCCCGCCCCGCGCCCCTTCCCGGGCCCGGCGCCCCGTGCCCCCTCCTCAGGAGCCTCAGGTCTCCGCCACTTTTGTCCTGCCCCGGTCCCCGCGGATGCTGACGGTAGTGGAGAAGGGCCGCGAGGCCTCAGGGAAGCGTAGAGCAAGGAACGCCGTTTGGCGGCGCGGCGGCGCCCAGTGGCCGTGGCAGCAGCAGCGGCAGCAGCAGCAGCAGCGGCAGCAGCAGCGGCAGCTCCTCTAGGGAGGAAGGTAGCCGCCGCAGCGGTGGCGGCTTGAGGATCGGACCCCAGAACCAGGCGTTGGTGCCTGACTTTAGCACTGGAAGAGCCTGACATTGAAAACTATCAGAAGTTTTCACCTAACAAAAATCATTTCCGTCTACAAGAAATCTCCACACCTTAGAATGGAACATCTACTTCCCTGGCTGGTATTCTGTATGGAAGCAAATTTAAAGTGATACAAGAAAAAAAATCCAATCAAAGGAATTCGTCAGATTTTAATGTATGAGAGTCTAGCCCGCCTCTGTATGAGACTGTCTTTAAAGGTTTCTGATATAGAAAATGTTTGAAAGAATGTAGGTTTTATTTCAGAAATAAAATTCAAAAGAGCAATCCGTAAAGCTGTAGTTAACAGTCCTCCCTGATTGGAGGGCTCTGGAATTGGAGATTCTCTAGGTAGGTTGTACCACTAGTTTATTTGAAAAGATAAATGCATAAATGCTTTTCCTTGGAAACAAGACTGCAGAAAATTCCAAGGATCTAGTCCTTGAAAAGGGCGAACGCTTTTAAGCTGTTATTAAGGTACTGAACTCTGTATTTTGAAATGAAAATACATGGAGGTCCTGGGTGAGCTCTTGGACACTCTGAAAATAGATGACTTTTCCCAAATTTGCCTTCTAAATTTTGAGTTGTTGATTTAAATTTTTAAAATTTATGTAGCCTAACACTCAGGTTTGTATTCCTTTTAAGCACAAGTTAGTGTTTTTTGATATTTTCCCTTTCTCTCTCCCCTCCCCATTCTTCTCCCTCTCTCTCTCTCTCTTTTTTGGTAGTCACTTTTTACTGAAAAGTGTGACAATCGAATTGAGTGGCCTGGCTATTTCTCTTGTATCCATGGCTCCTCCATTCCTTGGTTGGCCCCCGGGGGAAGAATACTGTTTTTTGGTTACAGTTGACCCTATCTTCATTTTGTAGTTCAAAGTCTATCTTTGCTTTGATACATAGAACATAATAAAGCTTTTCACCATGTTTCCCTAATGTCGATTTTTTAAAATCGACTTGCACAAATCTTTGAGTAAGTTGGTAGGTTTTTGGATACATTTTTAGCATTAATTAACATTAATTTTGAAAATTTTAGGTATGTTGGATGTGACTAATGAAAGGACACTTTTGATGGTAACAAAGGGAATTAGATTTCTGATATTCATCTAAATATTGATGTCTAGCTCTGCATTGTTGGTAATGAGTCTGACTTCTTTGGAGTTGTACTCTTCTTTGAAACAGAAAATGTAACATTTTGAACTGTCCTTGCACTTTTTGTTGGAATGGGTAAAAGCGTAAACTTGCTAGGAACCTACTGTTCTAAAATGGAAAACATCTAGCCGGTCACAGTGGCTCATACCCGTAACCTCAACTCTTGAGAAGGTCGTGGTGGTATTGCTTGAGCCCAGGAGTTGGAGATGAGCCTGGAAGCTTAGTAAGACTCCATCTCTACAAAATATAAATAAATTAGCTGGGCATGGTGGCATGTGCCTGTGGTCCCAGCTATTTGGGAGGCTGAGGTGGCAGGATCACTTGAGCCCAGGCGGTGGAGGCTGCAGTGAGCAGTGATAGCACCACTGCACTCCAGCCTGGGTGACAGAACGAGACCCTATCTCTAAATAAATAAATATGAAAACAACAAAAAAAGAGAAAATTGTCTTTACAATAGCATCAAAAAGAGTAAAATACTTCACGTAAATTTAACAAAAGAAATAGAAAACATATACTCTGAAAACTGTAAAATAATGCTGAAAGAAATTTAAGATCTAAATAAATGAAATGGAAAAAATGTCCTGTCTTAGTCTTGCCAGGCTGCCACAACAAGTATTATTGTGTGGCTTAAACAGAAACTTATTTCTCATGATTCTGTAGGCTGGGAAGTCCAAGATAAAAGTGTGGATGATCTGGTTTCTGGTGAGAGCTTCATTTCTGGTTTGTAGAAGAATATCTTCTTGCTGTATCCTTACATGGTGGAGAGAGACATGTATCTCTCTGTCATGTCTTTTCTTTCTTTTTTTTTTTTCCGAGATGAGAGTTTTGCTCTTGTGCCTGGGCTGGAGTACAATGGGGTGATCTCGGCTCACTGCAACCTCTGCCTCCTGAGTTCAAGTGATTCTCCTGCCTCAGCCTCCCAAGTAGCTGGGATTACAGGCATGCGCCACCATGCCTGGTTAATTTTGTACTTTTAGTAGAGAAAGGGTTTCTCCGTGTTGGTCAGGCTGGTCTCGAACTCACGACCTCAGGTGATCCACCCGCCTTGTCCTCCCAAGTAGTGGGAAGGATTACAGTCCTGGGATTACAGGCATGAGCTACCGCATGCAGCCTGTCATGTCTTATTTATTTATTTATTTTTGAGACAGAGGCTCACTCTGTCACCCAGGCTAGAGTGCAGTGGCACTATCACGGCTGACTGCATCCTTGAACTTCTGGGCACAAGAGATCCTCTCACCTCAGCCTCCCAAGTAGCTGGGACTATAGGTGCTAACCACCATGCTGGGCTAATTTATTTTTATTTTTTGTAGAGATGAAGTCCCATTATATTGCTTAGTCTGGTCTGGAACTACTAGGCTCAGGCGATCGCCTCAGAATCCCAAAGTGCTGGGATTACAGGTGTGAACCACCATGCCTAGCCTCATGTCTTGTCTTGTCTTTACTTTATTTGAATCTTGAGACAGAGTCTTTCTCTGTTGCCCAGGCTGGAGTGCAGTGGCGTGATCTCAGCTCAGTGCAACTTCTGCCTCCTGGGTTCAAGCAATTCTCCTGCCTCAACCTTCTGAATGGTTGGGATTACAGGCTCCACCACCACACCCAGCTAATTTATTGCACTTTTAGTAGAAACGGGGTTTTATCATGTTAGCCAGGCTGATCTCAATCTCCTTACCTCATGATCTGCCAGCCTTGGCGTCCCAAAGTGCTAGGATTACAGGTGTGAGCCACAATGCCCGGCCCTTATGTCTTTTCTTGTAATGGCACTAATCCCATTCATGAGGACTCTTCCCTTATGACCTAATCAATTCCCAAAGGCCCTGCCTCCAGATACCATCACATGGGTGTGGTGGGGGGCGGTCGGGCCTCAATATAAATTTTGGAGGACCCAAGCATTCAGTCAATAGCACATCCCAAAAACATATTCATAAATTGGAAAACGGAACATTGTGTTCTCTTACTGCCACAGGTGAACTCAAAGTGGAGATGATGGCAGGAGGGACTCAAATCATACCCCTGAATGACAATGTCACTATATTCTGCAATTTCTTTGATTCTGAACCCCACAACATCACAAGTGTAGGTATCACCTGGTTTCGGAAGAGTCCAACATTTGACAAAGAATTCAAGGTATTTGAATTTTTTGGAGATCACCTAAAGGCATTTCGACCTGGAGCCACTGTGTCTCCATGGAGGCTGAAGAGTGGAGATGCTTCACTGCAGCTGCCTGGAGTCCAGCTGGAGGAAGCAGGAGAATACCGATGTGAGGTGGTGTCCACCCCTAAGAAGGCACATGGAAGGGTCTGGCTTGGAGTTGTGGGTGAGTGCCTCAGGGCAGTGCCCTACAGTTTCCATGGTTGGGTTTAACAATAACAAAACATAAACACTTCTTTGAGCTCCACTTTGCTGTATTACCAAGTGATCTGATAATACATGGATGAGCTTGGTGGCTGTGTTAGTTTGCTAAGCTGCCATAACAAAATAGGACTGGGTAGCTTTGAATAACAGGTGTTTATTTTCTCACACTTCTGGATTGGTTTCTTCTGAGGCCTCTCTCCTCTGGCTGTCTTCTCCCTGTGTCTTCACATGGTCTTTCCTCTGTGCCTATGTCTGTGTCCTGATTTCCTCTTCTCATAAGGATGCCAATCATATTAGATAAGAGCCCACCCTAATAACCCCATTTTAACTTAATTACCTCTTTAAAGAACCTATCTCTAAATACAGTCACATTCACAGATACTGGGAATTCTGGGAGGACATAAGAATTTTAGGACATAATTCAGCCCATCATGGCCCCTCCATAATTGTGCATAAGACTTTGATTGTTTTGTTCATAATAATTTTGAGAGTGAGAGGCATATTAATTAGGATTAATTTCCTCTGCAATTGACATAGGAATAACAACAACAGTGGCTATATATACGGCCAACTGTCAGTTGTCCATTGTCATTCCAGACTTTATGTATCTATAGAAAGGGTCTACATAGGAGACATGGCCTTGCTCTGTTGCCCAGGCTGGTGTGCATGGCACAATTATAGCTCACTGTAACCTCAAACTCCCAGGCTCAGGTGATCCTCCTGCCTCAGCCTCCTGAGTGGCTAGGACTTCTGGTACATGCCACCATGCCTGGCTAATTTTTACATGTTTTGTAGAGATGGGGCCTTGTTGGGTTGCCCAGGCAAGGCCCTCCAACTCCTGGCCTCAAGATATCCTCCTGCCCTGGCCTCCCAAAGTGCTGGCATTACAGGGGTGAGCTACCATGCCTGGCCAACAGTGACTTTAAGAGACATTAATAGATTTTTTTGTTTTGTTTTTTTGAGACAGAGTTTCACTCTTGTTACTCAGGCTGGAGTGCAATGCCACGATCTCGCCTCCACCTCCGGGGTTCAAGCAATTCTCCTGCCTCAGCCTCCCGAGTAGCTGGGACTACAGGCGCGCGCCAGCATGCCCAGCTAATTTTTGTATTTTTAGTAGAGACGGGGTTTCACCATGTTGACCAGGATGGTCTCGATCTCTTGACCTCATGATCCACCCGCCTTGGCCTCCCAAAGTGCTGGGATTACAGGCGTGAGCCACCGCGCCCAGCCTATTAATAGATTTTTTTAAGGACAGTTTTAGATTTACAGAAGCATTGCAAAGATAGTATGAGAGTTCTCATATCACTCTCACTCTGCATACCCTTGCATTCTTATGGTACGTTGATATAATTAATGAACCCATGTTGACATTTTACTATAAAGTTCATAGTTTATTCATATTTCCTTAGTTTTTACCTCATGTCCTTTTCCTGCTCCAGGATCCCATCAGAATGCCACATTGCATTTAATTGTTATATGTTCTTAGGCACCTTTTTGCTGTGACAATTTCTTAGACCTTACTTTTGATGTCCTTGACTGTTTGGTGAGGCTACTGGTCAGGTACATTGCAGGATGTCACTCAATTAGGATTTGTCTGCTCTCTTCCTTATAACTGGACTTGGGGTTACGGGTTTTTGGAGGAACATAGCAGAAGTAAACTGCCATTTTCTTTTTTTTTTCTTAATTTTTTATTGGATTTTAGGTTTTGGGGTACATGAGCAGAGCATGCAAGACAGTTGCGTAGGAACACACATGGCAGTGTGCTTTGCTTTTCTTCTCCCCTTCACCCACATTTGGCATTTTTCCCCAGGCTATCCCTCCCCACCTCCACCTCCCACTGGCCCTCCCCTTTCCCCCCCAATAGACCCCACTGTTTAGCACTCCCCTTTCTGTGTCCATGTGTTCTCATTTTTCATCACCCACCTATGAGTGAGAATATGTGGTGTTTCATTTTCTGTTCTTGTGTCAGTTTGCTGAGGATGATGTTTTCCAGATTCATCCATGTCCCTACAAACGACACAAACTCATCATTTCTGATTGCTGCATAATATTCCATGGTGTATATGTGCCACATTTTTCCAATCCAGTCTATTATCAATGGGCATTTGGGTTGATTCCAGGTCTTTGCTATTGTAAACAGTGCTGCAATGAACATTCGTGTACATGTGTCCTTATAGTAGAACGATTTATAGTCTTTTGGATATATACCCAGTAATGGGATTGCTGGGTCAAATGGAATTTCTATTTCTAAGGCCTTGAGGAATCGCCACACTGTCTTCCACAATGGTTGAACTAATTTACACTCCCACCAACAGTGTAAAAGTGTTCCTTTTTCTCCACATCCTCTCCAGCATCTGTTGTCTCCAGATTTTTTAATGATCGCCATTCTAACTGGCGTGAGATGGTATCTCAATGTGGTTTTGATTTGCATCTCTCTGATGACCAGTGACGATGAGCATTTTTTCATATGATTGTTGGCCTCATATATGTCTTCTTTCGTAAAGTGTCTGTTCATATCCTTTGCCCACTTTTGAATGGGCTTGTTTGTTTTTTTCCTGTAAATCCGTTTGAGTTCTTTGTAAATTCTGGATATCAGCCCTTTGTCAGATGGGTAAACTGCAAAAATTTTTTCCCATTCTGTTGGTTGCTGATCCACTCTAGTGACTATTTCTTTTGCCGTGCAGAAGCTGTGGAGTTTCATTAGGTCCATTTGTCTATTTTGGCTTTTGTTGCCAATGCTTTTGGTGTTTTGTTCATGAAGTCCTTGCCTACTCCTATGTCCTGGATAGTTTTGCCTAGATTTCCTTCTAGGGTTTTTATCGTGCCAGGTCTTATGTTTAAGTCTTTAATCCATCTGGAGTTAATTTTAGTGTAAGGTGTCAGGAAGGGGTCCAGTTTCTGCTTTCTGCACATGGCTAGCCAGTTTTCCCAACACCATTTGTTAAACAGGGAATCCTTTCCCCCTTGCTTGTTTTTGTCAGGTTTATCAAAGATTGTATAGTTGTAGATATGTTGTGTTACCTCCGGTGCCTCTGCTTTGTTCCATTGGTCTATATCTCTGTTTTGGTACCAGTACCATGCTGTTTTGATTACTGTGGCCTTGTAGTATAGTTTGAAATCCGGTAGTGTGATGCCCCCCGCTGTGTTCTTTTTGCTTAGAATTGACTTGGCTATGCGGGCTCTCTTTTGGTTCCATATGAAGTTCATGGTGTTTTTTTCCAGTTCTGTGAAGAAAGTCAATGGTAGCTTGATGGGGATAGCGTTGATTCTGTAAATTACTTTGGGCAGTATAGCCATTTTCACGATATTAATTCTTCCTAACCATGAACATGGAATGTTTCTCCATCTGTTTGTGTCCTCTCTGATTTCGTTGAGCAGTGGCTTGTAGTTCTCCTTGAAGAGGTCCCTTACGTTCCTTGTGAGTTGTATTCCAAGGTATTTTATTGTTTTTGTAGCAATTGTGAATGGCAGTTCGTTCTTGATTTGGCTTTCTTTAAGTCTGTTATTGGTGTAGACGAATGCTTGTGATTTTTGCACATTGATTTTATATCCTGAGACTTTGCTGAAGTTGCTTATCAGTTTCAGGAGTTTTTGGGCTGAGGTGATGGGGTCTTCTAGGTATACTATCATGTCGTCTGCAAATAGAGACAATTTGGCTTCCACCTTTCCTATTTGAATATCCTTTATTTCTTTTTCTTGCCTGATTGCTCTGGCTAGAACTTCCAGAACTATATTGAATAGGAGTGGTGAAAGAGGGCATCCTTGTCTAGTGCCAGATTTCAAAGGGAATGCTTCCAGTTTTTGCCCATTCAGTATGATATTGGCTGTTGGTTTGTCATAAATAGCTTTTATTACTTTGAGATACGTTCCATCGATACCGAGTTTATTGAGGGTTTTTAGCATAAAGGGCTGTTGAATTTTGTCAAATGCCTTCTCTGCGTCAGTTGAGATAATCATGTGGTTTTTGTTTTTGGTTCTGTTTATGTGGTGAATTACGTTTATAGACTTGCATATGTTGAACCCGGGATGAATCCTACTTGATCATGGTGAATAAGTTTTTTGATTTGCTGTTGCATTTGGCTTGCCAATATTTTATTGAAGATTTTTGCATCTATGTTCATCATGGATATTGGCCTGAAGTTTTCTTTTCTTGTTGGGTCTCTGCCGGGTTTTGGTATCAGAATGATGTTGGTCTCGTAAAATGATTTGGGAAGTATTCCCTCTTTTTGGATTGGTAAACTGCCATTTTCAACACATCAAATCACATGACTTATGACTGTAGATGTTGACTTTAATCACCTAGTTGAAGTAGTATTTGTTTGATTTCTCTACTTAAAAGTTACCCTTCTCCCTATTTTCCTACTGTACTCTTTGAAACGAAGCCATTCTGAGTCAAGTGGAAGTTATTGCACATTTCAAAAAGACAAGTGATTCTATGAAAGCAGTGTTTAAAGATTACTTTTGTACTAGAATTAAGGGTAGATTCCTAGAGAAAAGAGGATTGCAGGTACCAGTGGGTACCAGTGGTAATAGGAAGGGAAATCTAGGACGGTTTTGAAGGAAAAATGAGAATTAGAGTTTAGGAGAAAGCAAATCACTGAAGTTTTAAATAACGTGAAGTAGTTGGTAAGAACAACTTATTTATGAAAGCTGACATCAGAGTCTCACTGGAACATTAAGAGCAGAGGTTTTCTGGGCATGTAGAAGTGCAGTAAGAGCCATGGGTGAGCACCTTTTCGTTTTTAAAGAATTAGGTTAAAGGATTAAGACAACTGCATGCTTGAGTGTTTATTTTGGTTGTTTCTGATATGCACTTCTGAACCTCAGGAATAATTTGTTATCTAACTAAAATAGTTTTAAAAAATAAAGCTCATTTATATTTAAAAACAAAACAAACAAAACAAAAAAAAACACTTAAGGTGGGGGTGTTACTTATGTTATTCCTCCTTGGGGGTGGAGTAT